TTCTTAACAATTCAGGCAAGCTCACAAGCATCCCATGCATGTTGTAATTCATAATGAATTGACTGAAGGAAGGTGGAAACGAGGTCAGGACTAAGTTATTACTTAGCTCGGCATCCATCACGAAGCCTAGATTTCCTAGCTTCTCAATGAGCCCGATCATCTTAAGAACATGACTGCTCACAGACATGTTCTAAGACATCCTGCATGAGAACAATTCTCTAGAGGCCTCATACCTCTCATGCCTGCCTTTAATGTCCTCTCAACCCTAAGACAATAGAGGGAGCATCCTTATGCTCATGCTGCTTTTGCAGTTCAGGCGACATGGATGCCAACATGATGCAGACAGTCAACACATTGTCATTCATGTGCTGTTTGTGGGCCTCGAAATCAAATTCCGCGAACCCATCTTCCCCTTCCCTAGGAGCTACGGGTAATGCAGCATCCAGGACATAAGCTATTTTTTCGGCCCTAAGAACAATTCTGAAGTTCCGATACCAGTCCATAAAGTTTGAACCGGTCAGTTTGTTCGTATCGAGTATTGAGCGCAGTGACAGTGGATTAGTCATACTAAAAACTGAAAAAGATGTAAAGATGATTTAATTAATATATTTAGACATGTTGTATAAACAAATTATTAAAGACTTTAAATAATTTGCCCCTCCCACTATTGTATCTAAGTCAATGACCCTTCCCATTTGACTTAGGGTTAATCTACTTTTAGATTTTACCTTAGTGAGATTAAGAGTGCGATTATCTATTTTAACCTCCGTCTGTGATCGCAAGATTAATTTAAATAATGGGTTGATCCTCATCAACAGTATCTCATACCCTCTCTTAACATTAGTTTGACAACTCCTTGTCACTTAGTGGTGCATCTCATGCAACCAACCTAGCATTATTACCCTAAGCACATAAGCCCGGCTGAGTCTGCAACTTATGTCTCAGTTAAGTATTAACCAACACCCTAAGTGTCTAACACTTCTAATACTACTCTTACTCAACTAAACAGTGGGTCCCAACTGAGATGTGGAGCACCACTATGTAGAGGAGGTTCAAGTAATATTGGTGGTTGGAGGTAATCATATGTTTATAATTTATTCCTTTTTTTTGGGGTTTATTAGGTCTCATCAAACACATTTATATTATTATCATGCTAGTCGTTATCTTATGTCAAACATCTATCGGATTACACTAGTCGTAATTGGACATGCATAATAATACATACAAACGCGTTTTGTCCAATTCATGCATACTAGTCGTTCAAAACATAAAAGCATACATGCATATAAAACAGTTTTATTTGAGATGGTCATGGTGCTCGTGCATTTGTCCATCTTGCTTCTCAAGCATCGGCTCCTCGTCGTCTATACGCCACTAGCCTAATTCTCTAATTACATATAATTAAAGAAACTCCAAAACATCTTTGGAGGGACAAATAATAAAAATACAAAATTCAAAATTCAAATTACAACTCTAATTAAAATAGAGCAAAATTACACATTAATTTAAAATTTGAAATTCGAATTTCGGGCACCATGACCATCCCCTTCCAAATTGCACCTGAAAATTTAAACAGCTTGCAAGCACATAATATCAAATATTATATAAATATTTCCTCACATATATTTTGATAATTTAACAATTAAAATATCAAAACAAGAATCAAAATTCAAAAATTTTCCAATTTTCTCTTAATGGTCGAATTTTGCATCTTTATGCATAATTCAAATCTTTGTCAAATCTTTCTCAAAGATTACAAAAATTAAACCATTTATTCAACCATAACTCATATGGCCGAACCTTACATCATCATATACAAAAATTTTATTAAATAAAATCATGGAGAAAATAATGCATTTGAATATTCACATCATGGCAGAATCATATTCCCTTTTCAAAAAAAATGTTTCTTTTGAAAACTTTCACAAAGAATCAAAACAAACAAAACCCTGAGGTCATGTAGATATATGAACACCATAATCATATTAAACATGTTCATAAAAAAATCCACATGCAAAGAATTAGTCTTTAACAAAAAGACCTTTTGACCGTGCAAAAATTAATTTCACAAACAAAGTACCATCACTCGCCGATGGTAAAGCGATCGGGCTCTGATACCACTTGAAAGTAAAATGGCCTTGAAGGTCGTAGTATGTGAGAGGGAAAAACAAAATTTTTCATATGCGGAATTACACATGCAATCAAGAATCATGCTTTATGGCATGTGATGTTACCTTTGTTTATGAGTTCAAAACTCCAAGACGATCAGTGTTAGGTTTGAAGGGTTCAAACCCTCTAACGTTGATCCACACGACCCACGTCAAGATGCAAGAACGCTTTCTTGAAAGCCACTAATTGACCACCACAGAGAGGCTTGCTATGCGCTCAACAGGTGAAGAAGGAGGCTAGGTATATGTGTTTAGAAGAGTGAAGTCTCCAGCATGAAAACTTCACAAGAGTGGGAATGGTATATAGAAGAATTGGCTAGGTTCTTTTGAAAAACCTTAAGGAGGAACTCACCAACTAGGCGCACAAGAGAGGGAGAGAATTAGTGTATCAAATCAGAATTTTTACTTTACTTATAATGAAAGTGGCGCACAAGTGAGTGAGACAAAGGTGGAGTTGTTGCAATTCAAAAATACCAACAACCTCCGCTTTGAATCCTCATAAGACTAGGTCTTTATCTAGTCAAAATTCTGAACCAATGCTCATCATATGACCACCAATTGATGCGCCCCTATTCAGCCCAAAAAGGGTCCAGATACATTTGAGCTGTTGCATTCAAGTTTGAACCAACTAGCTCACTGATTCTCTCAACAACCAAATCTAATTGGAGCTTGTTGGTTTGACAAGATGACAATCATCTCTCACCAAAATGGCGCCCCAAATCAGCCCTTGGAGATCTCCATAGATCTTCTCTTGATACAAGGGATTTGTTCCAACAAGATCTCATCTTATCCTTTTATTATGAAACAACTTTTCATAGCCAATTCAAATTCGAATTCAAACATTTAAATTCAAACGTGCAAACATTTAAATTCTAAATTCAAATTCAAATTTCAAATTTTAAAATTCAAATTTCAAATTCAAAATTCGAATTTCAAAATTCAAAATTCAAATTTCAAATTTCAAATTCAAAATTCAAAATTTAAATATTTGATAATTAATTTAACTAATTAAATTAATTAGTAATGTCTTGGACCATCCAAGCCTATTAACAATACCATGCGCTCTCTCCCTCTTAAGTGGGCTTCCAAACTTCATCTTGGGCTAACAACCATTATTAGGCCCAATACCTTTAATGCTATATCGTCATGACATTAAGGTGTTAGTGTGTGACCCATTAGGTCCAACATAGCCACTGACATAAACGGGCTCGGGCCCAACAAGCCCACAACCCATTTAATGACAACACAGAGCACTAGCAATGCTTTGTTGCCCCAGAGCTAGTTAGATTAATGACTTGATCATCGTATTACACATATTTGGTTGCCGTATGTATTTCTTTTCGTCTCGGTTACCTTCCCATAAAACCTAGGGTAAGGAAGCGTATCAACCCTTGCGGCTTAGGGTATGCTTTATTCGAAATAGGGAATCTTCAATTTACTGACTCTAAAGGCAGATCATCTCATGATTTCTTTTACTATGCATAGATTTCCGAGTCCCTGTAAATGTCATCCCGATTTCTCCGGTTTACAGATAACCTAATCTCTCACAGAGATTTGACGAATTCCTTCAGCTTATCACCCTAGCCCTGTGCTCTTTCAGGACAAGCCCAACAGTATACCTATGAGTCTCCATGTGTCAGGCAGACGAGGTATACAGTCAAAGCATGCCTTCTAGAACACAGTCTAGGTAATAACTTCTGGACTAAGGAAAGACATACCCAAATATAAAGAGACTACTCTAATGATACTCTCTGTGAGATTTCCTCATAGAGTCTCTTTTGTGGGTCTGTTCAGTGCGAGCTATACCCTTATAGATCCACCCACGACTTTAGCTAAGACATCTCCATATCTGTAGCTCATGAGGTTTTTACCTTGCATCTGAATACAAGTAGATAAGTCGTGCTAGTCTTACCCGAGATCACTGATCCCCATTCCCAGTGTCTCTAGACTACGAACATAAAATTAGAAATAAATATCCAGTATCCTTGAATCCTCATGATCGTGATCTCATCACAGATACTCAAGAGATACCTATTTTACTCCAAGGTGTTTATCCAGTTACTCATATAAAATATTAACAGTAATATTGAGACAAAATATGAAACAGGATAAATAGTGCTTTTATTTATTTGCGACAATACAAAGGTCCACATATGTCCTATTCTAATTAAAAGATTGTCTCTAGGACATCCATATACTAACAAGGTAGTTATAATTTTATAAAGCTTCTCTATATAAAGAACCACTTTAACCCAAAACCTTAAGGTGTTGAGTGAGGATTTTTTAATGGTTTATATTATTGTCTAACACATTCCCTCAAGCAAGAGTCCTTTGGGCTTGAAGTGTGGATATTGCTTAGGCCCAATTTTTTTTTTTTTACTTTATGCTTATTTAATTCAACAAGTGGGGAGCGGTGAGAATCGAACTCGTGACCTTGTGGTCACTAAAGCTCTGATACCATGTAAAGAACCACTTCAATCCAAAATTTTAAGGTGTTGGGTGAGGGCTTTTTTAAATGGTTTATATTATTCTCTAACACTATTTTCCTTTTTAATTACTAAGCAACAAATAATTAATAAGAATTTTTATAAATGAGTAGTTGTTGAAAGCTGTGAAACATTATAATGATTTTACATGTTTGTAAAAGGACAAATTTTGAAAGTGCTTATCAAGACACTAGTATTTATAAAGTTCGGACAAAATGGATAACATTCACCGCAAATTCGTGAGCTGTTACTTTGATTTGGTTGTGGAACTTTACTCAACGTTGGTTGAGGTTGTTACTGATATTACTGTGCTTGATTCTTCTCTACTTATTTTCAAAGTGTTTGTTGGTAGCATATTTAAGTTAATAGTAGTAAAATGCATATTTGATGGGGCTTCTTGCAGTCCTTGTATGATAATTTTTCATGGTTAGAGCTGCACTTTTTTTTTTCTTTTGTAAGTGAAAGATTTTTTGGTCATTACTTATATAATCCATAAAGGGGGCGAACCGGAGCAGTGGTAAAGTTGTTCCTTCATGGCTGAAAGGTCATGGGTTCGAATCCAGGAAACAACCTCTTTGCAATTATGGAAGGGTAAGGCTGCGTACAAGGATTACCTCCACCCACATTTGCTAGTCGGGTTTAACGGGGATTGGTTTTTTTTTTTTTTTTTTTTTACTTATATAATCCATATGCAGATTTTTCTCTATTACGCCCCCCTTTTTTGTATTAATTTTAGTTTTTGTTGTTACTATCATCATTGTCATCTTGTTTTGGTGTTTGTAGTATGAGGAGGAACAGGTTGCAAATGAATCCTCTGGCAAGCAACAAGGAATAATAGTTGAAAGTGGTGTTCAAATTAACTGTTCAGATGGAGGTGGATTAACTGAACTGGAGAAACTACTTAAGCAGAAGACTTTCACCAGGTATGCTTTGTATGATGTGCATGTGGCATCACTATTTTTCACATTGGGTTGCTGACTCTGTAGTCCCTGCTTTTGAATATTGAATAATCTTATTTGCAGCAAATTCTTGAATGTAAATATGTAATTTCTACTTTGAGGAATGAAATTTTTTATGAAGATTTGTTATTTGTTCGCTCTTATGTGTGTGTGTGTGTATTTATAGGGTTAAATGTTTCTCATGTTACAAGAGATAAAATTATTTTCTCTGACCCCAAAACAAAGTCATATTGGTGTTGTGGGGGTTTTTTTATGTCAATTTGGTACATGTTGGGGCTGTATTAGTCATTATCATGACAATTTTTTCCCCAAACTCGAAATGACATGGTTTTAGGTATCTCATGTAAAAGGAGAAACACTTAATCCATATATACATGTTATATGTAACATGTATATATATGTATGTGATAATTTGTTGCATGTCACGTGACAAATTATAAAGGTTTGTTTAATTTTTATTACAAGGATTGTTGAACAATTATACAATTGTTTGGTTTTTAATTTAGCCCAATGTTGTCATTTGATCCATGTAGCTGAGCCCACCTGGTGGGATAATGCTTGATGGTTGTTGTTTTGTATTTTACACTTTCTGTGTAACTTATTGAAGCTTATGAAGTTCTTGTTGCAAAAATTACAATTTGCTTCTTCTAGGTATCCATATCAAGTTCATGTCATTCTATATTCTTAAACATTATTCACTCGATAAGCTTTTTGTTGACTTTGTTCATGGTAAGTGTCTATTTTTCCGCAGATCTGAGATTGATCATTTGACAACGCTTATGCGTTCAAGAACCGTGGATCCACCTGTTGGGGAAGACGGGAAGAGGACAGAAGTGGTTCCATCAGATCCAATGTTGCCTCGTGTTCAAATTGAAGAATATCCCAAAACTCCAGCACTAGAAAATGGGATTGAAAACCATCTTGTTTCAACTCCATATGTTACTTCCAGCGTACGACAATTTTATTCATACCTATCTTTGATATATAAGTTTGATTATATTTTTTGGAGTGGTCATGTATAACCATATGCTGTCCATAGGTTTCTATTGATGATGTTGCTTCACCTGCCGAGCTTGCTAAGGCTTACATGGGGAGCAGGCCTTCCAAGGTATCCCAATCAATGCTGGGCTTGCGAAATCCTCCAAGAGAGGATCCAACTCTACTAAGAAATCAGCACTTTGCTCAGAAATCCCCAGTTATGTCAATTGTGCCAAGGGCAACTACCCTTGCTCGGGTTCGTGAAAATGGCTTTGTGACCCCAAGATCTCATGGAAGATCAGCAATATATAGAATGGCTCGAACACCTTATGCCAGAGTTTATCCAATATCTACGCTCAAGGTTTGCCATTTACTAAATGGTACTTTGGATAATTCTGTTTCTAGTGTTGAGATTTTTATTGGGTTTCTCTAACTTTACAGGTATGTATACCCTTTGTTTAGAGCCAGAAAGCATATCATGATCCAGTGCATACTGAGCTGATGATGATGGATCATGATATGCTTTCTGGCTCTAAACAAAGGGTTTACATACTTGTGATTATAAGTCCTATCCTTTCAGTGTACATTCTAGAGTTCTTTTTCAGAGATATGTTCCTGGATTTCACCTTTTTTCCCTCCCCATTTTTAGCAGGCATTAAAACGTAGAAGTTCTGTATTAGATAATGATATACGATCTTTTGGTCCTATACGCCGAATGCGTCACAAGTGTAATCTTCTATCTTCTAAAGGCTTAACCTTACCTCATTCAGGCGCCCCCTTATCTATAGCTAGGAACAGAGTTGGCATTGATGCTGCTCAGCAACCTTCATCTTCCATGCAGAAGCCTATTCTGCTTGGGGAAGTTAAGCATAGGCATACGAAATTGTCAGCAGAAAATGTTGATGACACCATGCCTAGTACTAGCTTTCCTCCTTTATCTTCAAAATCTAGCGAGATGGCCTCAAAAATACTCCAGCAACTTGATACTTGGGAAGAAACAACAGGCTCCACTGCTGTGGCCGAGAAAACTACCTCTGCTACTGAAACTGATGTACAGGAGATTCCCCCAGCTTCATCTGTAGTATTGCCATCCAAAAGTTTTACAACAGATGGTTCACCTCCTGTTAGGTCTGCTGATGGATCTACATTTGGTCAGAAGGTTGATATACCAACGTCCATAAATTCGTCTATCCCTGATCCTACTTTTAAGCCAACAATGGGTGCAGTGTCAGTAGCTGCACACACAATTTTGGGTTCCGAGAAGTTTAATTCACAAAATGGATCAGTTGTTAATCCTCCCCTGTTGAACTTTGGGAATAAAGTTGTTCAGTCAACAGAGGTGACTGCTGCTGATGCTCCATCAAAGGAGTCTACTAAATCAGGTCCAATATTTGGTTTGGATAAAGTTGCATCGTCAAAGGAGCCAGGTGCTGATGCTCCGTTATTTAACTTTGGCATCAACAAAAATGTTGATTATGTTCCCCAAGTCCCATTTGCTTTCTCATCATCAGTTGGTGGTGAATCTGGTGGTCTCAAATTTGGTGCTTCTTCTGACTCAAAGATGACGAGCTCAATCAAGTTAGTGTATGTAATTTTGGCTTGTTTTAAAAACACTCTCAAAATAACCCTTTACTCATCTACATTATTTTCTAGTTTATAGATTTGTGTCTGTTCTGTTGACTTCTTTTCAGTAAAGAAAAAAGAATGTCTCTAATGAGTTATGGGAGTATATTTTTCTTTCACAATAACTTTACTTTTCCCCATGTTTGCTATAATAAGTTTGTCTTAATTTAATACTTTTCATTCTTCCCTGCTACTGTTCCGGTGTCATTTGATTTGTAAAACACATTTTGCATTCACAGTTTCATGGTCGTTGACTCGCCAAATTTATCAAGTGGTGATTAGTTGTTATCTTGAGTTTTGGTTCTCATTTTTAAAGTGAATTTTGAACTTTTTCGTGTTTACTTTTTGCAATTTGACTGTGATTTCTGTGATGTATCATAATAATACTGTTCTTATTGACACACTGTTCAGTTGGGTTTGTGAAGAGATATAAGGGATCTTACATTATGTTTAGTGAAGTGTTACAATGAACAAATATATTAAATGTTCCCTTCATTTGCAGCTCCACTACTGTTCCTGTTGCTGTTGATTCAATGCCAAAAGTTCTTGAATCAGATAATGCTGATGCTAAGACTAATATAGTTGCTGGATCTTCTCCTCCGTCATCAGAGCCAGCTGTTTCATCTGCAGCATCGACATCATTGTTGACATCACCTGCTAATATATTTACTTTTAGCAACAGATTAAATGAAGATAATGGACGTGTTGCTTCAAGCGCTACATTTGCCTCTACATTTCCATCTATTGGTACAAATAGTTTTAGTCAGAATATATCCAGTAGGTCTTCCCTTGCAGCAAGCAGCAGCAGCATTAGTGCCACAGCAACTTCCTCTAGCACTAGCATGACAACTAGCACCCCGAGCAGTTCCTCCACCCAAGTGGTGGCATCTTCATATCCTACAACTTCCTTCAAATTTGGATCCACTCCTTTATCATCAACAAGTTTACCTGTATCATCGTCTGGCTCAGAACCAGTGGAAACCAAGAGCAGGCAGGATGGAGGAATTGGTAATCTAGGCAATACTGCCTTTGGAAGCTCTTCTGCTGCTGTTGGTAGCACAGGGAGTGGCATTTTTGGGTTGAGTTCCCCGGTAATGACTTCTATATATAGCCAGTCTCAGGGTTCTGTCTTTGGCACTACAAGTGGGTCTGTCCTTGGTATGCTGGCACCTTCTGCTACTAGTGGTTTTACAACTTCTACTCAGAATCAGTCAGTGGGATTTGGTTCATCTGCATCATCCCCATTGTTTGGGTTGACTGGGAATACAACTTTTTCTTCAGGGAGTTCATTGTTTACTTCTTCAAGTACCAGCGCTAGTATTTTCAACTCTGGTACAACTTCTGGACAACGTACCCTTGCTTCCGGCAACCCTATTACTTTTAGCTCCAAGAGTAGTTCAAGTTCTACTTTGTTTGGACTTTCTAGTTGGAAGCCCAGCAAGCCCAGCACCTCTGGGTTTGTTTTTGCAACATCCACTCCTCTTGCTTCTACCAGTTCACCCATATTTGGATCTTCCACTGGTGCATCTAGTCCTCAATTCTCATTTACTTCAGCTGCAGCTATTACCAACATGCAGCCTGCTTTTGGAAGTCCTAGTCCTGTATTCACATATGCTTCAGCTTCTGCTAATAATGATCAGATGAGCATGGAGGACAGTATGGCTGAGGACACAGTTCAAGCAGGTCCGCCCGCCACTCCTGTATTTGGTCAACAACCTCCCCCAATTAAATCAGATTTTGTATTTGGAGCATCAACTCCAACCGGAGCGAATCCTTTCCAGTATGCGAGTCAACAGAATATTGCTCCACAGAACCCATCTCCATTTCAGGCTTCTGGCAGTCTAGAATTTAATGCTGGAGGGAGTTTCTCATTGGGCACTGGTGGTGGTGACAAGTCTGGTCGAAAATTTGTGAGAGTTAAACATAAGCAGCGTAAGAAGTAAAGACCATTTTTTCTGAAAATTTTCTGTCACTGCTGCAGTCTGCACTTAGTGCTACAAATGAATAAACTCTTAAAAGGGGTGAATGATTCCTTAATTTGGCTGTTCAGTTAGCAATCTGGACAAATGATGCTATGAAAGCAAATCAACATATGCAAGCTTGTCAGTCTCGTGTCTTGCTTCTTATAGAATGCAAGGCTTAGCTTTTCACAATTTTGTAATAGTATGATGTGATTGAACATATCTGCTGTACTTGTAATGGTTTTAGGTCATATTTCAAGATCAAGATTTGGTCAGTTATGATGTTGTCAAAATCCCTGTATTTTCGTTATTTGTATCATAGCCAGAAATAGGCATGAATTTATGGCTTAGCTGGTTGTCGCATAACTTACAATTTATGGTGTAGCAATTAGTACTCATGTATTCTGTATTGTAACTTTGTATAAACAAGGCCGTTTAAAAATAAGAAAGAAAAATATACCCACAAAAAAGAGAGAAAAGAGCGAGAGAAAGAACTTACTTGGGATAGTGTGACCATTGTATAAGAGCGAGAGAAAGAAGCTATTTAACGTGATAAATGGTTTCTTTAATTATTTGCCTGATCAAATACCTGATAAACCAACAGCAAGATGCAGAAATGCATGTAGAAGTGTTGTAGTGTGGCCTGCATTAACTAAGTAAAGAACTATGAACCATGAAATTGACAATATGTGATTTGCAGTAACCAGCTGATCATAATAAATGTTGATATTCTATGTAATACGTGTATTGGCAATGTAGAATTATTAACACAGATTTTCACCTGAGCACTTGCATTTGGCTTTTATTTCCTCTCAAACTTGAAAGGAACACTCGCTTGAGATGCGTGTTATATATGTGTCTGTGCATCAGCAAGTTGAGGATGAGATTGAAGAGTTGGTAGGCTAAGCATTATCTAATGGCAAACTCAACTAGGCATTCACGAGTTGCAACATTATTTATGTATCATTGGTGTTTTTATGTTCATAGAATGTACATAAAACCTCAAATTCAACAACTATGGGAATTTTTAGTAAAGGTCCACTAGTATTAGTGATTCTTAACTTGTGCGTTTAATTGGATCTTACCAATTTTAAATAAATTTTGATGTTGATTTTAAATAAATTAAAAGACTTAGAAATTTTTGGGAGTTGGGACAAACAACTTTTTTGGGAAACTCAGTAATGACGAATTATTGATTGGGGGCCTGTGTATCTTTTTTAAGAATATGAACGTGCTCAAATTTTTTTTCATATGATAATTGGATTATTTTTTTTAGAAAAATGAAAACCCTAAAAGAATATATGTAGTATATTTCTCAAAATATATTCTAAAAAATTGATATATCACAAAATGCATTTTTAAATTTTTTTTTTTATCCAAATACACCTTGATTTGAAAATTTTGATATCCACACCAAAAAAAGAAAAAAGAAAATTTTGATATCATAGTTTTTTTTCTTATTTGAATTATCAAGTCTATAGACTTGCATTGGCAATCAATGATGCATCGACACCGGCACGGGACACGACACGACACGACACTCCGACACGTTAATTCTAAAAAATGCTAAATTCCGACACGTTGGGACACGTTTTGGTATTAAATAATATTTTTAATATATATAATATAGTTTACATTTAATACATATAGCAACTCATAATAAATCATATAACTAATCAAATATTCAAATTCCATAACATAAACATTAAGCAAAAATAATAAAACATCCCAAGAGTGTAGAGTGTAGACCACTCACAAACATCCCAATATATATTTT